TGTGACAGGTAAATGCGACGGTATAATAGTGCAGTCAGGAATGTGGCAGCACAAGTGCGGTTGTTACCAGCGGGGTCAGTGGCGGCAGGACTTTTTAATATCTCCCATTTCCAAGGGAGACCAGCCCCCACAGCTTATATAACACAGGAAACAGATGTTAGCGACTCACAATCATCCCTCCATCCCACTCTGCCCTCGCCGCTCTTTCAAACCAATCTTCCCCTTTTTACTCATGCCGTAATGAGTGACAGGAAGGGACGGTTCCCTTCGTCATGTAAATACCTGCAAGTTTCTCTCTGTAAATCAGTCCTCAGACGATTTATTTTGGAGTAATTCTTCTTAAACCCGAGCCTAAAGTGTGTCAGTTTGAGTTTCATGCTTTCTCTGGCTCTGTCTTAAAGTAGGGGCAAACCCTTCGAGTTGTGGATTATTTGTTGTGTAATCCCTCTCGCTCGCAGYGTGCAGCTGCAGTTATGTGACTAATTTTGAGAGGATACTGTGCACGGAACACAAATAAGGACCAAAAATACAGAGCTCATCTCAGAAGAGTGAGGCGAGGTTGAGGGGAAGAACAAATGGGAGGAACAAGCAGTTAAAAGCCTAGCTGTGCTCGGAGGTTTGCATATCGCCCGTCACTGGCCTTATGATGAGACGGGAGGGAGTTATCTCATCTGTTAGTGCTCAGAATATACGTTTTGGATCACWCTCAGCTGTTACTACATCAAATCTTAGCTCGATATCTGTTAAACTGACTGCATTTTTTGTTTGCCAAGTTTGATTAGCCGAGGCAGCCATCTTTAATTGGTTTGACTCTGAAATGAATCAGTTGTTGATGTGCACTTACTGATTACTTTCTGTGACTTTGGGATATTTTGCTAACAGGCAGACACAGTGGACGTTAACAATTAGTGCCAAAGTTTAATGYGTACACCCAGAGTATGCTTTGAAGAAGACTCTCAGTTACCACCACATGAAATTTTAGCTTAGTGTACGTAAAGTTGACAAAGTCATAGCCGTTTTTGTTGTGGCTTCTATAGTTTAGCGGTTATGGCCATCTTAAGTCGAGTTTGCTTTAAAGGAGCAATATCATGTAAAATCAACTTTTTTGAGGTTTATATCATGTTATAATGTTATACTCTCATAAAAAAAACGTGCCCAAAGCCTTGCTTTTATTCATGCATGTTTGAGAAATCCTGCAGCGTTTTTAGACAGCCATGCTGAGGAGCAAAACGACAAGTGGGAACCAGAAACGCACCTGGGGCGTGTCTTTAAGCTGAGCTTCCTCATGGCGGAGCACCCCACCCCTCCCTACACACCCCGCCCATGAAACCTGCAGGCTCTTGGGTGAAAGTGAAAGTGAAACTTAACTGTCTGCTGACCTCTCAACGTTAGTTGTCACTCAGTGAAGTTCTTTTCAGATTAAAAATACCTTTTAGGAAATGTATTTTCAGATGCCAAGTAAACTGCATTATGGCAGCACCCCCCCCCCTCCCCCCAGGGGTTAGAAGAGGAAGTGATAAGAAGATACGTTTATTTTCTATTTAAACAAAAAAATAGCATTTTAATAACAACTAAAAGTTACATAGTTACTTTAATATGGTATAGTATTTAAATGTATGCCTGAGAAACACATAATATTGCCCCTTTAAAGTTTTTTTGGCTGTAGAAATAGATCCAGGGATCATTTCCGGAAAGTTTCAATAAAATCCTTCCTGTGGTTCATGAGATATTTTGCTAAGGTTGACTCTGATTATTGAATTGTTAAAAATGAAGCTCTTGCTATTAAAGCTTAGAGTGTATATTGGTGGTGATAGCTGCTACCTCTGCAAAGTTTGGATCAAGATTTGTGAAAATGACTAAATTTGAGCTTATTTTGTATTTTTTAATTTCACTTGGCTGTCGCATCTTGAATCAGGGGAGGCTGTGAAATTTAATGAGCTGTTCACTAATAAAGACTTTCTGAAAGTTTCATCAGAATTTGTTCCGTGGTTTATGAGCAGTTTGGACGAACATACGGGCGAAACTTTTATCGCCCGCCATCGCCTTTGAACAGCGGACGATAAAAACCGTGTGCTTTCATTTTCCTATTACACATATTTACCAAACACAAAGTCGAAGTCTTAGCGTCTTCTCTGATGCATGTGTTGTAACTTTGGGACTGACTTCGAG